AATGAACAATTTAGAGAGAATCTTTGATGAGAAATCATATAAGGCCAAACATTTTTCTTGAAAGACTGATAACATTTGCAAAACAACCCAGTCATGCTGATCCATAAAAAATGCATTCAATTCATTGATAAACAAAATTTCTAAAAAAATATATTCACAGGGAGAAGAAGTTAGATCTCCACCAAGAAGACAAAATAAATTTTCAGTCAACAATAAAGTGCTTGAAATATAAGTTGAAACTTGTCAGCAAAGTTTTCCTGTCAACTTTCCTTTTTCTTCCCATGGAAATAAACGACTGCCTTCTCTTCGTCTCTCTCTCACTCTCTCAATTACCTTCTTGATACTTTAAAATAATTCTTCCCTGAAGGAAAAACTGACCCGTCCGCAGAATTACTTCCTCATCACGTTGCGAAACGGACTTTGGTCGTTGCTTTTCGCTTTCATCTATTTTCCTCGAGCGAAATTTGGCACAGAGGGGAATCCGTCGTTTCGGAAACTTTCAGCAAAAACAACAAGCAGTCCATCAAGTCAAGCGTGCAAAGAAAATGAAAAAAGATAAATACGGTCAAAGCAATATTTTGGTACTCACAAGTACTGGGAGAAAAGACGAAAAAAAAAAACGTGGCTCTGGTTTCCAAGCTTTTAAATGGCCAATGCAAAAAAATCCCTGCATATTATAGTCTCTTCTTCCAAAAAGATTTTGCATGGAATTCACAATATATGCTTGAAAACAATGAATGGATGAAGTTCAAATTAGGGTAAAATGAATAATTTGAAAATAATAAAACTGATTCTCGAAAACGCATTTAATTTCAAGCCCTTAATTATTCTCACTCTGGAACTTTTATTTTCACGCTGAACATGGCAATTTTATTCCCGAAGGATCGCTTATTTTCGAAACCTTTATCATATTTTTACTTTTATGTACTGCAAAAAAGGCCAAAAATAGATATTTTTGGCAAAGCGGCATTCCTTATTGAGGCAATTAAATTTATTACTATTTCCCTGTAGTACTTAAAAGTGGAATAGAATGTAAGAAGAAAGTTAGTCCCTCTTGAGTAAACTGCGAAAGGTACAGTACTTAATTTTTTTTTAGAAAGAGAGAAAGTCCCGTGTTTCGATTATCTGTGTGGATATCCGTAAATAATAGTACCACATTCTGGTACTCTTCGAATAATTTTCAGGTGATTTCGCCCAAAAAACAGTCTTTATCTAAATTTAGTGAGGAAAATTAAAAGAAGGATTGCTTTTGTGTAATCATAAATTATTCGCAAATATTCACAAATAATTTCAACAGTTGTGGGTATAAGTTTTCCAAAAAGCAAGAACCACAAACACCAAGAAATAATTTCAAATGTTTGCGTTCTTCCTGGGTTTTTTTTGCCCAACATGCTCACGTAAATTCGCAAGAAATCCTGTACAAATAAATTTTGGCAACATTATTCATGATACTTCATACAAAAAAAGGTGCCCAGAGGAAAGAAAACCACTGAATAATATGATTCAATCACCTCCCGTTTCCACTGCATTTATTGAGGATAATTCAAGGAAATAATTTCACACGTTAAAGGCCTTTATTGATTGCCAAATATCTGATTAAAAATTTGTGCACAAAAATGAACGAACCCGTAATTTTGAAAATAATCGTTGCCAGTAAACGTGGTCATCCGAAAAAGCTTGTAGTTTTTTTCTTGTATCCCGACATAAAATGTTCCACAAAAATTATCTTTTGCGTGTAAAAACACAAGAAATGCATTTTTATTTCTCAAAATACCATGGTTTTGTGGTTTAAGTTTTAAACACCAGAAAATGAGAAAAGCCCCTGTTTTATTTTTCGATTTCGAATTTTTTCTTCCACCGTTTCCCCTCTCCCCCCCCGCTTTTTTTTTTTATAAAAATGCAATCAGGGAAGAGGCTTTGCAGTTCGGATTTTACGAGCCAGGTGTCGCCATTCCCCCGGCAGCAGCAAAATTCAGCGAATCGAGCATTTGTTTATTGCTTCTTCAGTCCAGTGATTGCCAAATATATACGCAAGCAACGATCGACACAAGGCTGAAACCCAACCATAAGAAGAATAAGCAATAATTCAACCGAAAAAATATATTATTCAACCATGAACCAGAATAAAATGCTCCTCGAGTCTCACCACCTCCGGTTTTCATTTTACTTTTTTGAAAATCTCTCTCTCTCTCTCTCTCTCTCGACAAAACTATAGCCAATTTCACAAGCCGTGATTGGCGCAAAAACATTCGACTGTACCGAGAACACCTGTCTCTCTGTGGCCCTCGAGCAGCAGGGCCACGGAATAAATAAAGATATAAAAAAAATATATACATATATATATATGTAGAATAATAAACCAGACTGCAAGAGATAATCGGTTGAGCGGAACACGTCGTCATTCCCTCAACAACACACCCACACACATGGTTGATTTTTGGGCAGTTGTCGCAAGAAAAATGCATCCAAGGTCCCCTGGGACAACATTGTTGCATTCCCATGAGAGCAAAGAATTTTTAGAGTGGTTTTCAAAAATTTAATTGGAACTGATTCCAATGAAATCATTATTTCCCACTCAGTTACACAACAGTTGTCCTTTGTCCTTGAAAAAAAAAATCAAAAACATTCAAAGGATTTCTTTTTTTTAGTAAAAAAAAAACATTTTCTGTTCTCCCTCAAAAGCCCTCCATATGTGATATTGGAATTTTTGCTATTTCCATATGGACCCAGGAAATAAAAGTGCAATGAAAATATAACTTGATACTTTAAAAAAACAATCAAGTGACTTATCATTGGGAAAGTAAACCCTTGCTTCCAGATTCAGCATCTTGTTAACTCATGTTAAAAGGCCCTGCAGAAAATCAAAATATTTCTCCCTTGAATTTTTTTAAAGATTTTCTTGAGAAAAATGCCAGTTTCTTTTCAATTCAAACACTCTTGAGTCGAATTTTTGGCAACTCCTTTGAAGTTTGACCGAAAAGAGTTCAAGTGTACTTGATAAAATCAATGGGATTCAATTTTACTCAATTTTCCCAGCAGCAGTTTTTGAAGGCCCAGCAGTAGAAATCCACAAATTTTCATCTTCTCATGATTTTTTTTTCTTCAGCAAAAATGCTATTTTACACATTATTGAAATACTCTCCATGTTATATTTTGGTAAGTATCTTGCGTCTGGCTCAAATTAAGGTTCAACTGCATTACTTGGAAAAATCACCAAAATTGTTTTTCATCCTGGGATGTCCAGGCTGTGTCCCACAAAACAATGTTTTCTTTCAAATTAATCATCTTTAAAAAAGAATAAATATTTCATTGAGTGATGGGTATATTATATGAGAGAGTTGTCCCAGTTCCACGCGTCTCTCCACATGATGTTAACAAATAGTCAGACTACTTCTTTCTCTCCATTTCCCTGGGATGAATATACAAAAGTCAGCAGTGGAAGCAAAGACAAAGATGGAGATGCATATCAAATGATTGTACAGAAAGATAAAGGAGAGGAGTAAGAACATGAGGGAGAATATACAGGGAGTACCAAAACAAAGTGAACCAATTTTTGACTCAAAAAAGCTCAGTAAAAAATTGTGAATAATGATTGAAACTGATTTTGAGCAATCCAGTCAACCCAAACAAATTTTCATGCAGGGTGTCACATCAGAACCACACCCCCCCCCCACTACTCAATTTTTTTGGCACTTCTCACCCCTATCTCCTAAATTTTTGGAATATGTGTGCATCCTCTCTTATTGAAGGCAGCATGAAGTTTGCTGGTTAAATGTTTGGTCCTGCACCCTAATCATCACTAAAAAACATATCTAGAGAATAGCTGCTTAGTGGAAAGAGTTGCCTGCATGATGACTTTTTTGGAAGTGTCCATTTGAATGGTTCTTATTGCCGCCATCATGTCATGGTAGTACTTGAAGACCATAAAACTGCAGCACACCATTTGAAAGATGATTGAAAAGGCATTACCTTGGTATTTTCTTTTTGCCACAGCTCAATTTGCTACCAAGCTATTTTGAGTGAAATATCAGTTCATTTCTTTTTGGTCCACCCTGTATACTGTGTAATCATATCCAAGCCTCCTCAAGGGGTCGGTTGTGAGCCATGATAGGAGTTGAGTTGGGTTGACTGACTGACTGACTGACTGACGCAAGTTTTCTTTTTGTTTCTTTCTTTGTCTATATACAGTAGTTCCTTTTATTTCTCTCAAGTATTCATTGATCCAATCCGCGATATCATTCTTCTTCTCGTCGTTGCTGGTCGGCTCGGCTTGATGATGACTACTGAGGATATACGCGATATCTCCGACTGCGGATGCCATCCATGAAAGGGTCCTATTTTAAAGTCGTTGAAACGTTGAGGAATTTCTGAAAGTGTCGTCAAATTGGAATATCAATGGCTGTCATCGGCATGAGTATATCTTGTATCGAGGTCGCACGGACAACGAGTGCTGACGATGAGATGAACTACAAATTGTTTTCTGCTACTGGTACTTGGTTAAAAAAAATATCCCAACCTTTGTATATGCGAAAGATGAGGACAAATAATTAATCTGAAAAAATTATATATTTTACTGGTTCCTGATCCGCTTTTTTCTATTATAAATATGATAAATAATGAACATGAGCGACCACATGCGCATCATATTCAAGAGTGACATCTGTCACAGAAAACGTTTTTTTTTCAGCTGGAGACAACTGACACAGTCAAAACAGGTTTGTATTCTTATCCTTGCTTTTTCTTTGTGAATGAATTAAAATGACATACTCTGCTCTCACATTTGGATATTAGGAATTAACATTCATACTTGAGTTCAAGTTTCTCTTTTTTTTTTTAAATAATTTTGGGCCAAAGCATTTTGCAAAAAAATCCTGACTTTGCTGTAGTAGGATCAATGAAAACATTTAGAAGCAACTGTTTGCATGTGTTGATACAGATAAATATTTTCTGCATGGAGAAATATCAAAACAAAACTTTTAAAGACCAGCCACTAATAGCAGACTGGCTGCCCTTTGTCCATATCCCTCATTATTGACCTGAGACTATATGGGCATTCATCAGAGCAGTTTATTCTCAACCATTTTGGGCCTGTGTACCAGCAAATACCCAAAAACTTCTCTGCAGGCCAGAAATTTTGCATAAAATTTTTGCAGACTCGAAAAGTTTTGTTCAAAAAACTTTAGGCCATGTATTTAACATTTTTATGCTCAATTTTTTTTGCAAAAATTTAGTTCAGGAACCAATGAAACATAAAAAGTGGAGTGTCTTCAAAAACAAGTAGAAAGGTGGGCTTGGAGAATGGTTTCTCAGAAAGAGAAATTTGAATCATGTTATTTCAGAAAATTTGTCTAACGCATTATTAGGTGAAAAGCCGGCTTTCATTTTTCATCAAGTTATTTCAACTGCCATTGTCTTCCCAAAATTTCAGATTAAGATAACAGACTTTGTTGCTACTTTTGATAATTTTTGTTGTTGTTGCTGAAGTGAATTTTCTAGAGACTGGCAAAAAACCTTTGCAGACCAGTGCCAGTCCATGGATTGGGGAACATCTGCATTATAACCTATTATAAAGTAGGGCACAAATACAGTATACTGTATTTACTCAGGTACCATGCACACCTTATTTCTCAAAATTCAGAAGAAAAAAAGGGGTGCGCGTCATAAGCTGGTACAAATTTTTCAAGAAGTTTTAGGAAGTTATGTGTGCATTATACTTAATTATAATGGAGACATTTTGAAAAAATGTAACAAGAAAACTTTTTTGTACTGAAAAAGTTGAAAACTGATCCAATTTTTGTTCAATTCATGTCTAAAGTCAAATTTTTTGAATTTATTTTTGAAATTTTGTGGTTTTAGATTTTCAAAAAATTGGGGTGCGCGTCTTCCTTGGGTATAAGATTTTAGCCAAATTTCCAATTGAAAAAGCCTTACTTGAGGGTATGTGGTACTTGAGTAAATACAGTATATGACAAAGAACCTTTTCTCTTGAAAAAATCTACTTTCTCCAATTGGAGATGGATGCAATGAGAGGCATTTCAAATGCTTGCTTCCAAAACCTCATGCTTCTGCTGCCTTGAGGGCACAATTATTCGCTCATGCTTGCTCCATAATTTTATTTATTTTTTGTCCTCGGGCTGAGAGCTGCCATTGACATTCCGGCCTTGTCACTTTCTTTGTGACATCAAGAAAACCCCAGAAGGAATGTGAAGGAAGTTTGGGAAACAGCCCGGATGAGTGAGACTATATTCCCCCAACATGTATTATTCCGGACCGATTCGAATCGACTCCTTTCGATTGCCGCAAAGCCATTAACCTCTCCTATTTTTTCATTTTTTTTTGTAAAACGTTTTCGAAAAAGGAATATTTTATTCTAGGGGCGAAAAATAACGAGGGGATCGGGTTGAGCAACAATAACGAGTCCCTTCCGGTTTTAATGTTCTTCTCGGCGCGAATCGTGAGCAGATGTTGTCTGATATCTCGCCATTATATTGCCGGAGGGGATTTAGTTTTTTCTTGACACCAACATGCG